GCTTACTTGCAGAGTGAGGTGCCTCCAGCCATTTAATTGTGGGAGCTAGGCTTACTGACCCATGAAACCAGAGCTGAGTGACTTCAGACTGCAGTTTATGATGGAGTGATGTGTCCTGTGGCATTTATTAGCAGTCCCAAAGGAGCTTTGTAACATTGGCCAGGCAGAGAGGGGCCTGCCGGTGGCATGGCTGAGAAGAGGCTGTCTTGATTGGAACAGCTGTATCCTGAGCATTTCTGACCCTGATTTGCAAGCTATTAGCTTCCTTAATGGAGTCCTGGTGTGGCGGCGTTGAAGGATCATGTGCTGGATCTAAAGGTTGGTTTGAACCATAAAGTCAGCAGTTCAAACCCACCAGCCATTTTTCAGAAACCTTATACAGGGTCACTATGAGTTGGAACTGACTCAACGACACTTAAAAACAACAACTATGAGTATAGTTTCTGAGTTCTGTGTGACCACTGCAATGATTTATCAACCCAGTTGAGTAGAGAGTGCTGTAGGAGAATGGCTTGGAGTCATTTTTCACAGATGTGTACACTTAAAATGGTTAAAATGGCCAATTTTATGTTATTTACATCTTACCACAATGAAAAAAAACACACCACGAAATCATTTTTCAAGGAATACCATTCATGTTAATCAAAGAATGAATAAAAGTAAAATACTTTATTATAACTTAAATTAAAAGAATAAAAAAAGTAGATGACATGTTCTTGGGAGAATATGCTGAGAAAAAGAAAGCCCAACAGAGTGCTGCCAAGGAAGAGTAGCATTTAAGAGGTGGACTGAGGATAAGGACTCAACAAAGGAAGCCAAGAAGAAATTCTCAGAGAAAGAAAAAGAATTGAAGCAGGACACAGTGGGTCATGGAAACCGAGTGAGAAGAGAGTTGCAGAGATGTGGCAAATACAGCAGAGAATCAAACAAAAAAATGATTCAGAAACCTCACTGGATAATCAGGAGGTCACTGGGAACCCTGGTGAGAGTGGTTTCAGTCCCTGTCCCTTCCCAAAACCTCTTCCCCTTAAACCTGCTGAGTGAACAACAGACGACGCTACATATTAAGCCTGGTCAAGCTGTGGTAATGTTGTGAGGGATCAGCCTGTGGGCAGAAGCTACGAGCCTGCCTCGGGCGTGGACACCATCTGTGGCACCCAGCATCTTGCCTGTACACAGCATGCACTCAGCAAAGGCCGCAGAACAAAGGGTGAGCCCAACTACTTCCTTATCATTTTGTTTCTGGTGAAGGCCTCTCTATTAAAAGAAGTAAATGAGGACATTGCTTTCTGATGGCGGCCACCCTTGGTGAGTTAGGGCAGTAGGTGCCCGTTGTGCAGGGGCCTGCTGTCCCGTCTCTTCGTTAAGCAGAGCTTGGAGGTTGCAGATCAGTGGAGCTGGGAAAAGGAGTCCGGGGGAGGGAGATTCTTCTGATCTGCAGGCCTTTCCTGACCATCAACCTTTCACCCTGTTCCCATGTGAAACTACCATACAGAATCACATTCTATCAAAAAGAGTTTATGTGAGAGAAACAGAAAGAAAGGGTTCACTTCTGGGGCATTCTGAGCCCCATTAAAGTTTGCGATCACAATGTAGTAGAAGGGACCTGTCTTAGTTTCCTAGTACTGCCATAACAAAATAACATAAGTGGGTAAACAGAAATATAATTTCTTACAGTTTCAGAGGCTAGAAGCACAAATTAAGGCCATTGGCTTATGGTGTTGGGATAATGACAATTTCTCACAACAAATAGGAGTGATACACAACTTTCATACACAACATTATGAGGACAAAGTTCTTTGTCTCTTTCAGCTTCTAGCTGTTTTTGTTATTAGGTGCTGTTGACTTGGTTCCCACTCAAAGCGACATTATGCACAACACTGCCCAGTTCTACGCCATCCTCACAATTGTTGTTAAGCTTGAGCCCATTGCTACTGCCATGATGCCAATCCACCTTGTTGGGAGTCTTCCTCTTTTTCACTAACCCTCCTCTTTAGTCTTTAGCAAGTATGATGTCCTTCTCCACAAACTTGTCCCTCCTGGTAATATGTCTGAAGTATGAGAGACAAAGTCTCGCCATCCTGGCTTCTCAAGAGCATTCTGGCTGTACGTCTTCCAACACAGATTTGTTTGTTCTTCTAGCAGTCCATGGTACTTTCAATATTCTTCTCCAACACCATAAGTCAAATGTCTCAATTCTTCTAGTCTACCTTATTCATTGGAGTCTTGGTGTGGTGCTGTTGGTTAATGTGCCAGACTGCAAAGCCATTTGAACTACAAGGTTGGCGGTTCAAGTTCACCAGCTGCTCCTTGGAAATCCTATGCAGTCACTATGGGTTGGAATTGGCTTGACAGCACTTAACAACAACAACCTTATTCATTGTTCAATTCTCACATGCATATGAAGCTATTGAAAATACCATGGCTTGGATCAGGCTTACCTCAGTCCTCAAACTGACATCCTTTTTCTTGAACACTTTAAAGGGGTCTTGTGCAGTAGACTTGCCTAATGCTTGATTTCTTGATTGCAGTTTTCATCAGTTTTGATAGAGGATCCAAGTAAAATGAAGTCTTTGACAGCTTCAATCTTTTCTCCATTTGCCATGTTATTTATTGGTCCAGTGGTGAGGATTTTTGTTTTCTTTACATTGAGCTGCAACTCATATTGAAGGCTGTATTCTTTATCTTCATCAGTAAGTATTTTAAGTCCTCTTTGCTTTCAGCAAGCAAGGTTGTGTCATCTGCATATTGCAGGCAGCTTGTAGTAGCTGCCTAGAATCCTCAGCATTCCTGGGCTTGTACCTGCTTCTGCCTCCACCCATCATCACCTGACTTCTTCCCTTACACAGAAGGGATTAGTTTAGGACCCAGACTACTCTGATATGACTGTATTAACAGAACAAAAGACAAGTCTATTTTCAAACAGGATTATATTCATAGATACATAGGGGTTAGGACTTCAACATTTTTGGGGACACAATTTAATTCATAACAGGATCTTAGGTTCATGAGCCTAGAATCAGGAGACCTGGGATTTAACCCAGTTCTGTGACCTTAGAAAGAAAGTCACACCCACACTCTGTGAAATGAGGGAGAGGGATGAATGATCTTTGAGGTTATAACTAGTAGCCATGATGCTTTGCTCCATTCCTTGGAGTAAGGGACTTGAGGGACACGTCTGTAGGAGTAGGGAACTGTGGAAGAAGGAAGAACAACAGAACCCAGATATCTCTGTGCCAGGCATTCAGATAGGGTATCTGAGCTGTCAATCAAAGAACTCCCTCAGGAGTAGAGGGTGGTACTTGGTTGTCTGGCAACCTCAGGGGCTCTGAGCAAAGAGCTAGGGAGGTAACCCAAGCCAGAGACACCATTCCAGAAAGTCAGCTACAAAGAAGACGGAAGGAGGTATGGCATCTTGAGTAGAGGGGTCCCAAGACTGAGTGGGTGTAGCCAGGAATTCCTTTTTGGGAACGGGGGCCTTGAAGAGGCAGAGTTTCTGGGTGTTCTTCGTAACAGGGGGACTTTCCTTAAAAAGAGAATGCATTTATTGCCTCTGTCTGCTTAACCCCTAAAAAAATCAAGAAGAAAATGGGAGGAGCTGAGATCCCAAATGCCTGGTCTTTCTATGCCCTTTCCTGTCTCCCAAGAAAAGCGTTTATGGAAGAAACTTTGCCTTTCAAAACGTGAGATACTAACTCATATACATGTTGATAAGATGAATGTATTTGTGTTTAAGAGGGTTCTGGATACTAGAGAACGTTGAGGAGATAGGGGAGAGAGAAGTTGCCCTTGGGAAGGTAAATGTTAAGTGTTAAGTTGTTCCACCTCATAGCGACCCTGCACAGGGTTTTCAAGGAGCAGCTGGTAGATTTGAACCAACAACCTTGCAGTGTTTTATCCTACACTGCCACACCAGAACTCCTAGGAAGGTAAATGGTGATGGTGGTAGTATGCCGTGGAGTTGGTTCTGACTCATAGTGACCCTGTACAGGGTTTCCATGGCTGTAAATCTTTACAGGAGCAGAAAGTCTCATCTTTCTCCCATGGAACAACTGGTAGTTTTGAACTGCTGACCCTGAAGTTAGCAGCCTGATTCATAACCACTACATTGCCAGAGCTCCTTGGGAAGGTAAAAAGAGAGATAGAATTCTCTGGTCCCCCACCCCCAGAGGTTGCTATTATGTGCCATCAAGTCAATTTTGTATCACAGGACCATAAAAGACAAGAGTTTCTTAAACTGAAATCTTTTTTTTTTTTTTTTTTTAGCTTTTAAACTGAAATCTTAGCGGGAACAGATCACTAGATCTTTTCATTCATAGAGTAGCTGGTGGGTTTGAACCCCTGACCTTTTGCTTAGCAGCTGATCACTTCATCAGTCATTGTACCTCTAAGGTTCCTTAATGCCTTATCAGTTCAACAGCTCATGTCTCTTTGTGACCTCAATGTCTAGTTCAGCTCCAGGCACAAAGCAGGAGTTCACTGAGTATTTTGCTGAATGAACCTAACTATAGTTTGAGGTTAGACAGCAAGAGTTTTAACATTATGAGTATATGTTAGGGCACAGTGTGAAGGAAGTAACAGAGGAGAGGCCCTATGTATGTTCAGCTCACTCATCTGCTCATTCAATAAACATTCATTGAGGATCTACTATGTGCCAGACATTTCAAGTTGCTCAGAATCTAGTGAGAGAGACAGACAAGAATAACCCAATGTGGTAAATAGCATAAAAGAAACCTAAGTGAAAGGAGCTATATGAGCACAGACCAAGGACCCAGTTAGAGGGAAAAGGGTTTTCTAAAGGAAACTGTTACTTAAGCTGAGTCTTGCAGGAGGATTAAGTTAGAGCACTAGAGTGAGAGTAGATGTAAGTGCCCAATAGGATACAAGAGAAGTGAGTGCTATACCAGGGCAGTGAGGCAGCTGAATTGTCCTCAAGAGATCCTGCTTTTGGGGAAGCCAGGCTTGACAGACTGACCCTTTTGTTCCCCATTGCCAGTCTTATGTCTTCCGAACCCACCCCTGAGGACACTCCCCAAGAACCTGAGCCTGAGCCTTCAAGTTCTAAAAAGAAGAAGAAAAAAAAGCGGCTGCAGCAAGAAGCCAGCATCCAAGCCCTCACGAGGGCTGGTCATGGTGCTCTGCAGGCAGGCCGAAACCATGAGGCCTTAACCAGCTTCCAGAAGGCCTTCTTCCTGGCCTCTGAGGCTCCACAAGCCAGAGACACCCCTGTCCTCCGGGCGTGCGCCTTCAATCTAGGAGCTGCCTACGTGGAGACTGGGGATCCAGCCAGAGGCCTTAAACTGCTCCTACGAGCCCAACCTGAAGAGAAGGCCCAGGGCCAGTGCCATGGTGACCAGTGTTTCAATGTGGCTTTGGCCTACCAGGCACTGGGTGACCTGCCTCAAGCTTTGACCTGGTATCATAAGGCCCTGGGCCACTATCAACCACAGGGTGACCAGGGAGAAGCCCAGGCAAAAATGGGAGCCTGCTACCAGGCTCTGGGGCAGCCTGAGTTAGCTGTCCCTTGCCTGCAGGAAGCAAGCCAGGCTTATGCCCAGGCAGGGCGGCCCCGGGCTGCAGCCCTGGCAATGGGGGCTGCAGCGGGGTGCATGCTGAAGTGTGGGCAGCATGGGGTGGGTGAGGTGGTACAAGCGCTGGAGGAGAGTCGGAGGCTTGCTGAGAGGAGCACCGAACGTGGATTTCTGGGTGAGGCTTTTCAAGGTGTGGGATATGGGGAGATGTTTTCTGATGGGAGGGTGAATGAAGCAGAGGCATTTCTGAAGGCTGGGGCAGGGGCTGGGGGACTCTGCAAGAGTGAGATAGGGGATCCATCAATATAACCTTAGTTAGTGTCCAAGCTGGATACCAGTGACCCTGGCTGTGTCTTCTAGGGCAACTCTATAATGACCTAGGCTTGGGCTACTCCCAGCTCCAACTGTTCCCGCTGGCAGTGGAGGCCTTCCTGCAGGCTCTGCCCCTGTGCCGGGGGCCACCAGAGGAGGCCACAGTGCTAAGAAACCTCGGGATGGCCCACAATGCCCTTGGCAACTATCAAGAAGCTCGGGATTTTCACCAGAAGGCTGCCCATCTGCATGGTAGGTGTTAGGGATTGAGGAGGAGGATTGAGAGCAAGGAACTAAAGATAGGGGAAAAGGGGAGAGACTCTACATCTGAAGATTGGATGGATCATTAGGACCAGGATCAGAGCCTGGAAGCTCAGACCCAGGAAGATGAGGGTTAGGGGTACAGAAGATGAGACAGTCAGGTAGGGCAGGAGTTGTAGGTGCAGAGGCTGAGGCCTAGGGCATGAGAGGGCATCAATAGACAGAGGAAAGAGTATTGGCTGGGAGACAAGGCCTGAAGTTCTAGTATCTCCATTGACTGTGTGATACTCTGGTCAAAATGGAGCTATTAATTCCAACCTTGCCCACCTCACAGGGTTGTTGTATAGCGCAAACTGTAGGGAAGTTTGGGACTCAGGCCAAAACTCAGGACTGAGGAAAGGCTAGGTATCAAGAGTTCTGGCCTATGTTGTTCATCTGGAGATGTATGGGGCTGGGCACCAGGATTCCTGGAAACCCTCCCTTGGTTGCTGGGGGGCAGGGTCCTGATGCCCCATGGGCCAAGGTCCCTTATTTGGATGGGGTGCGTTCTACTGTCAGGTTCTGTGGGGCAGCGATGGGAGCAGGGCCGGAGCTTTGGCAGCCTGGCATTTGCACTGAGCCAGCTGGGGGACCACAAGGCTGCCAGAGACAACTATCTCCATGCTCTGCAAGCTGCCCAGGATACTGGTGAGAGTGAGGGGTTAGCATGTGGCTTGAGTGGGGGAACCTAAAGACTGAGGGTCCTTGCGGTTGGCACGGAGGCAGTTGGGGAAGTCTGAGAGTGGGAGTGCTTCTGGAGGGGTGGGTCAATGGTCCAGGGAGTCATGAGACTGAGACGACCCCTCAGACCCTCCCTTCTCAGGGGACGTGAAGGGGCAGTGGCAGGCTTGTGAGGGCCTGGGCGCTGCTGCAGCCAGACTGGGACAATATGAACAGGCCTTGAAGCACTATAAGGAAGCATTGGCCCAATGCCAGGTGAGATCATCCTTTCTCTAGCAAGCCTCTTGTGGCTAATGATCCTGTCTGCACTCCTTGTCTGTTCCATTCATTCACTCACCAAACATGCACTGGATATAGTGTGTGCTAGGTCCTTGGGGTACTTTGTGAAGAAGACCCTGTTTCTATCCACAATTCTGAACAGGGGGTGGTGGAACCCAGGAAGGGCACAGGGAGGGAGTAGAAGAGAAGTGACCTAAGGCCCTCTTCCCTTTCCTGTTTCTTTCTTTCCCAATCCCCAGAGGCCTTCCCCATAACCCTATTATTCACCCTCCCTGCAGAAGGAGCCTGATTCTGTGAGACAGCGTCTGGTGGCCAAACTGGCAGATGCCATGAAGACCTACTTGGCCCAGGGAGGGCTGGTTCCAATTCACACTCTGGTGAGCTGATACCTGAGATACAAGCTGAGGGTATGGAGAGGTTACCCAGAGAAGGGTCACTCAGGGATGCTGTGCTTGACTGCTCATCTGTACTCATCTGTCCTGGGCCTGCATATGGGGTATCATTTTTCTGGGGCCACCCAGGGGTATCAGGGTGGGTGGGGGATCATGATACATCTCCAACACAAGGCTATGCTAGGACTTTGGCTGAGTAGTAACCAGTTCATTGGGTAAAGGATTCATGGAAATAGTCCTTGGCTGCAGTTCCCAAAAGGGCCACACGATGGGGATAGTGCTCTAAGGAAGTCCTCTCCAAACTGATCTTTCGTTCTCTAGGCATTTCTTGGGTTTCTTTGCCCTTTTGCTTCTCACAGTCTGTCTCAAAAGGCTGATGTCTTTCCAACTGTTTCCTCCCTCACACTTTAAGATATTCCCAGGACACCTTCTCCTATTCACACAGGAACTGAAATGATACTTTAATATTTCTTATAATTATTTGCTAGGGTACAGCACATAACAACAACAGCATGGCAGTTCAAGCTCACCAGCAGCTCCTCGGAAACCCTATACAAGGTCGCTATGGGTCGGAACAGACTTGATGGCACATCACAACAACAACATACAACTACTGGTTGGCGATTTTAAGTTCACCAGCTGCTCCTAGGAAATATATACAGGGTCACTATGGGTCAGAACCTACTCAAAGGCACTTAACAACAACAACAAATGTCCTCTTTAGAGTCCTGATATGGCACTGTAGGATAAGTATGGAACTGCTAACCACAAGGGTGGCGGTTCAAAGCCACCAGCCACATCTTAGAAACCCTATACAGAGTCAGTATGAGTTGGAACCTACTGGGTGGCACTTAGAAGACAACAACAAATGTCCTCTCTTAGTTTAAGATCTAGGGCCCCAGTCTATACTTGCAAACAAAATTAACTAGCCTGGTTGTTATATATAGGTAGAGGATCAAGTTTGGGACTAAAAGACCTGGGGCCCATCCAAAGTCTGCTATCAACTTTTTGGGACTTTGCCCCTCAAGCTTCCAGGAAGGATGGGGTGGTTCTGGCAGATCTGATAGTCCATGATCCCACATGCTAACTTGAGAGTTATTGCTCTTGTTGTTATTAAGTGCTGTCGAGTCAGTTCCGACCCATAGCAACTCTGAATAGGGTTTCCAAGGAGCTGCTGGTGAGCTTGAACCACTCACCTTGTGGTTCAAAGCGACTTTGCAGTTCAGTGCATTAACCCACAGCGTCACACCAGGACTCCCTGAGAGTTTTTAGGAGGGACCTTAAAGGAACAAAGGATCTCACCCATGATTTCTAAAACCTCAGTAACAAGTGGCATACTCCCTGTTCATCTCTATCATTCTGAGGCTACCAGGCAGAGTTGGGGAGAATACACAGTCTCTCTCTCTGATAAGGTTGGTTTTCTGTATTCAATTTCATTTACTCTCCTTTTTCCTCAGACCCAGGCTTCTGAGAGGCCACAGGCTCCAGGTGGAGACTGCCTGGTGGGAACCCCAGCCAAGGTGGGGTGTGGCATGACAGGTGCCCAGCGCAGGTGAGTAATACAGTGGCAGAGCTTCTGGAAGAGTGGCCACTGGAGGGGGTAGGGGTATCTACCCTGGTGGTGAGGTGGGGAAACCTGGCCCCAGGTGCTGCTCTGTCCCTTCTGCACAACCCCTCTCCCCACCCCCACCCCTGCAGATCTACCCGTGGGTGGGAAAGCAAAGAGTCTGAGGACCACCGTGAAGAGAAAGCGGAGAACAGATTGCTGAATGTTCCTGCAACTTCTTGGACGCCAAGACTGGAGTGTGAGTCTTTGCAGCTTGTGCCAGGCCAGGCCAGCCTGCAAATGGGAGCATTCTTTCCAACTCCCTCCCTGCCACTCCCATCCTTTTGCCCTTTCCCTTAGGGAGTGTCCACCCCTTCTCCACTCCCTCCCTCATCCCCTGTCTGAGACAAGGCTTGGTACTTCTCTCCAGTCCTCCTTCCCAAACTCCATTTGCTCTGCAGGTTTCCACCCCCTGGACTAGCCCTCCCATTTCTGCCAGTCTCCTAAGGTCCTAGCCCATTTTCCCTAACGCTTTCCGGAATGGAATTGTCTCCACCTCCCTGCTTCCAAGGTTTTTCTAACTCTGGAATTTTGCATCTTAGAGCACCATCATTTGCTGAAGACCTACTACCATGCAGGACACTTTGCTTACCCTATTTAGAAATATCTCTCTCTTCCAAAGACTTCCAACTCCAGGAGCAGAATTTTTTGCTTCTTGTGGAACTGACTGATGTCTTCTTCAGTGAATCATTCTCACCATCTAACCTCTAGTCAGCTCATGTTTGCCAAGCACCTGCCATGTGCAGGACATATTCTTTGGCACACCCTTATGCACAGTCACCAACACATCCTTCCACCTTGATGGTTTATGGTATAGAAATGCTAGTGATAAAACGTATCTGCCCCTTTGCAGGCCCAGGACCCGGGAGACATCTTTTGTTTGGTGGCTCAGGCCCCACCAGAGTAAGGTGCCCTGGCATGGTGGTACCCAATAGCTCTCAAGCCAATAGGTAGGTCCCTGGGGGAAGGGAGGGAACCAAGAGAATGGTTGAAGGAAGACCATGTAACTTGGAATCCTTTTGATGGAATGGAATTGGTAAGATAGGGGATGATGTGATCTGATGCCTGGGGATTGGGGATATAGAACTCTTTGTCTTTGTTCTTTAGCAATGCAAACAACCTTCACCCAACTCTGGAGGCCCAGGATCTCCCCTGCTTCCTACACAGTCTCACTGTAGGTCTCAAAGAAAGAGAGGGCCCTGCAGAATGGGGGGATGTGAAACTTAAGCCTTCCTACCCTGGAGTCCACCAGCAGAGGTAAGGACTTAAGAGACATCAGGAAGCTGAAGCCAGAGAGGCTGTTTCCTGTCCTTTATCCAGCCACCTCCACTGGCAGTTTACTCCCTCCCTCCTGCAGGTCATCAAAATGGCCCAGGGAAGTCCTCAGCAGGAATCCCCAAAGAAGAGGCACACAGTCTGGCTTCTGTACTGTCCTGTGACTCCTCTCTGCTCACCACATCACCACAGCCCTGGCCTCTGTAATACCCTGTCGGGACCTGCCTCTACACAGGTATTTGGTTCACGAGGTGGGGATATCTGGCAGCGGATATAGAGAGACACACAAGGACACAAAGAGAGAGACAAAGAGATACCCCGAAACCAGAGTGGATGCGGGACTAGCATCAGGCAGCTCCTGCATTGCAAACATCTCAGCCATGAAGGCAGTAATATCCTGCATAGTAAACATTTTGGCTAACAGGCAGCATGGTTGCAATGCTGGACTGAGCCCCCTGCATGCTGTAACACATTCCTTGCCAGTCGTAATGCACCTGGATTCGTTTCTGCGCCTCCGTTTTATTTAGGGGAGGTACTTTACACAAAGCTGGGAGGGACTAAGACAAGGTACAGCTAACATACATAATTTTCCAGACATTCAGGCACCTTTACATAGTACTTTGCAGGTTCTAATCTCACCACCACAACTTGGTTTCTCAAGCTTAATTAACATACCTTTTAGCACCTAGCCTCAAATGGGGGCAGGAAAAGGAGGATTGGGAGGATTCCCATTGTGTTGACTGTCTGGGCCAGTTTTGCAGGAAGAAGCTAGGAGCCTAGGTGAATGGGCTGCACCTGAAAACCTTTAGGCAGGGCAGTCCTATTGTCCTTAGAACAAAGACTGGGGAAGCCACCCAATTTACTTTGACTGAATTCTTTGAGGGAAGAACTTTGCCTTTTTGGAATTTTACAGTTTCGGCTTTTAGGAAAATATTACATTTACCTGTGGATATCAAGGCTTTATGCATGCACTTAATAATAAACCTAACTGAATACTAAGATGAAAAACAGTTTGCTGTAACTGCTAGGTGGCTAGAGTCTGTTCCTCAAAGCCTGTGGCCTGTACGGTCTGTAACACTTGGGCCCACAGGGTCTCGAACTCCTGACCGGGTCTGCACGGTCTGCAACAATACCCATCCTCTCCACCCCACCTCAACATAACACACTTTAGGAGCTTCTGAGGACCTAGCCTCTTCCCAGTTGTTCAACCCTGTATAGACATGCTCAGGGTGGACTCCTGAGAAGGCTGAGCATGGCTTTATGGTCTCAGCACTGAGGCATTCTGTATACTTCTCACTAGGATTTTTGGACTCAATAGGCAAAAGAAAAAGGAAAAATGATGGTGAATTCCCTCTTTTCTTTCTGGATCTAAACTTCATGATTGCCAAGGTCTTTGTCAGTCTTAAAAACTGTAACTCTTTGGTCAAGTGGCTTTGGCGTCATTGACTCCCTACAAATTTCTGTTTTCTCATGTGTGAAATGGGAATAATTATACTACAGAGGTACATCTTAGCTAACCAATGCAGCCCACTGCCTCCATGGAACATAGGGGATGCTGGTGGTGTCAAGCCTGTAGTTTGTAGAACTACAGCCAGCAGAGGCAATAATGTTATTATGCAACAATTATTGAGCATTTACCACATGCCATGTACCAGGAGTCCTGGTATGGCATTATAGGATAAGCACTGGACTGCAAGGTTGGTTTGAACTGCAAGGTCGGCGGTTCAAACTCACCAGCTGCTCCTTGGAAACCTTATACAGGGTTGTTATGAGTAGGAACTGACTTAACAGCACTAAACAACAACGTGCTCTATTCTAAATGTTCACAAATGTTTCCTCCTTTAATCTTCACAACATTGCTGTGAGGTAGGTGTTATTACCCCTGTCATGGAAGAGGAAAAGAAGTCACAAAGAGGTTATGTGGTTTGTCCTCCTAGGTCACACTAGTAAGTGGAGAAGCCAGGTATTCAGACCCAGGCATTGAGTGTCTTCTAGAATGCTGCTCATTCCACTCTTCCAGTTAAGCCACTACTTACCGAGAGTCAGCTGCGTTACAAATATTTGTTAGTTTACATGTAATTGTGCTTTGTAGTTTAATTGTTGTTAAGTGCCATTGAGTCAGTTTTGACTTATAGTGACCCTGTATAGGGTTTCTGAGGAGCAGCTGGTAGTTTTGAACCACTGACCTTATGGTAGCAGTCCAGTGTTTATGCTACAGCACCACACCATAAATTAATGGGTGTGGAGTGTGAAAACAAGTACTGTTTCTATGAAAATTAAGTTGAATATTAAGACTTGATTAAGATGAGTCACTTAAAGAAATTGCTGTTGAATTAGATGTGAGCAACAAGATAATTACAGCTTGGGGACAATCAAAAATCTAGATGAATTTCACGTTCACTTTGCTTCAAATATGTCATTAATTGTTCCACTTTAAGAAAGCTCACTGGCAAGAGGGAACCTAGTGCTAGGGAGCATGGCGGAAGGCAGAATCTCCAGTGGGTACTATTCAATCTGTTTGGGAAGAGCTGATGAAAGGAAATACAGATGGGTAACTCGAGATACTGTAGTGAATAATGCTTATCAGGACGGATTATGAGGGTTGGAAATGCAAAGGTACAAATTTTGTAACAAGGAAGAGAGTGATTAATGCTCCAGTTTAGGAGCGGAGGCCTCTGGGACCATCAACGGAGAAGAGCCGACAGCAGGACCCTACCCAGAGAACAGAGATGCCTGAGATAGAGACAGAGACGATGACGTGGAATGATGAAGTGGCTGGGGACTTTGGATCCAGAGAGGGAAAGGGACTGTGGGCCGAAAACTTCGAGGGGGAAGTGTAGGGGGTGGGTTTCTAAGATATACCCTTTGGTTGGTTGATGATGCATGGAGGGGATTGGAACCATGACAATGAGATGATATACGATGGAATGAATGTAAAACTAAAGTTCTGTCATGTAAACTATCATATAATTCACAATAAAACATTAAAAAGAAAGCTCACTGGAATTTACAGGTAATACATAAAGAAGACAGGAACTTCATTCATTGGTCCCATCCTCAAAGAGAAGACCCTGGCCCCACTTTGGCAGATAGCAAATGAGTATATTTTTTGTTTTCAACTGAAGTAATTCATCCCTGATTATGTTAGGAAGAGGATTTCTACTAGTCTGTGAGGAGTCCTTGTGTGGTGCTATAGGATAAGCACTGAACTGCTAACCACAAGGTCGGTGGTTCAAACCCACCAGCTGTTCCTTGGGAACCCAAACAGGGTCAATATGAGTTGGAAGTGACTCTTCAGGCACTTAACAACAACTGTACCATGATCTACTTCACAAAGGAAATCTTGAAGATTCACTGAAATATTTGTAGAAGACATGCTATGTGCTAGGGACTCAGCTTCCTTATCTATGCCAAGTTTATTGTTTTGTAAGCCCTTCGAGATATATTGATTAGAGTGCAGATTCACCAGCTGCAACAAAGGCCAATTTAACAGTGCATTTAAACAGAAAGAACTTGACCTTAAGCATTCCAGAACTTAAGCATTCCAGAACTGATAATGGTGGTTCCAAGAAGTTGAGAACCCAGGCAGGAGGACATACTACAGGGTTGCTGTGATGATTTAAAGAATCCCTGGTGGTACAGTGGGTTAAAAGGAGCCCTGGTAGCATAGTGGTTATGAATTGGGCTGAGAACTGCAAGGTCAGCAGTTCGAAACTACCAGCTGTTCCGCGGAAGAAAGATGAGGCTTTCTGCTCCCGTAAAGATTTACAGCCTCGGAATCCCTGTACAGGGTCGCTGTGAGTCAGAACCGACTCCACGGCACACAATAACAACAACAGTGGGTTAAATGTTGGGCTGCTGACCACAAGGTCAGCAGTTCAAATCCACCAGTCTCTCCTTGGGAGAAAGATGAAGATGTTTGCTTCCATAAAGATTTTCAGCTTCCAAAACCCTATGGAGTGGTTCTACTCTGTTGCTATGAGTTGAAGTCACCATGATGGCAGTGGGCTTGGTTTTGGAAATTCCCATAGCTATTATTTTAATGATAAGATGTGGCGCTGTAGGTTAATGCATTGGACTGCAAAGTTGCTTTGAACCACAAGCTCAGTGGTTCAAGCTCACCAGCTGCTCCTCTACAGGGTCACTATGAGTTGGAACCAACCCAACTGCACTTAACAACATTATCTTAATAGCAAAAGGACCAATCTCAATAAAGTATTATGCATGATTAGGGAAGCAGTGTGCTATTCTGGTAAACAAAGGTGGTGTTGTTAAATACCATCAAGTTTCAACTCATAATGACCTGATACAGAACAGAACGACACACTCCTGGGTCCTAAGTCATCCTCACAATTGTTATGTTTGAATATTTTGTTGCTGCCACTGTGTCAACCCATCTTGTTGGGATTCTTCCTCTTTTTCGCTGACCCTCCACTTTATCAAGCATTCTGTCCTGTTCTAGGAACTGCTTCCTCCTGACATGTCCAAAGTACTAGAGACAGAGTCTTAGCATTCCAAGAAGCAGCTAACTGCCAACCTGCAATTCAAACCTACTTTGCAGTTCAGTGCATTATCCTGCAGTGCCACACCAGGATTTTTGGCAGAGGTAGAGGAAAGAAGAGGTGTTAAGTGACTTCAAGAAGATCCTAAATTATGCAAAATGCTTAGTAAATAAGATTGATTTACTGGACCCTATGTGCCAGGCAAAGGAGCTATGGCATAGTGGCTACAAGTTAAGGTTATTAACCTCAAGGTCAGCAGTTTGAAACTACCGGCTGTTCCGAGGGAGAAAGATGAGTTTCTGCTCCCGTAAAGATTTACAGGCTGGGAAATCTTTGCAGGGTCGCTATGAGTCAGAACCAACTCCACGGCACACCATCACTATCACCACATGTGCCAGGCAGGATTCCTAGTGTGGCGCTTTAGGATCAGTACTGGACCGTGAACCACAGGTTGGCAGTTCAAACCCACCTACTGCTTCTCAGAAACCTTTGAGGGTCCTATGAGTTGGAACTGCTCGATGGCACAACACAGCAATAACAGCAACAATATGCCAGGCAAGAAACGTGGGTGGTATAGTGGTTAAAGTGCTAGACTGCCAAGTGAAAGGTTGGAAGTTCAAACCCCCTAGGTAATTGTTAGATGTGGTGATCAGATGTAGCAGTCTGCTTCTATAAAGATAGAAACCCTATGGGGTAGTTTTACTCTGTCCTGTAGGGTACAGAAGTCACAATCCACTTGATGACGATTTGGTTTGGGATGTGCTAGGATCTGTGCTGTGGCTTTACATGATTACCATAAGAAACAGGTGCTAGAATCCCCATATTATAGATGAGCTAAAAGTGCCCAACTTCATTCAACTAGTAAGTGATGGGTTAGGAATCGGTGTTCTTAAGTAGTATTGGATTGTTGTTAAGTGCCCTCGAGTCTGATCTAACTCATAGTGACCCTGTATAGGATTTCCAAGGAATAGCTGGTGAGTTTGAATCGCCAATCATGCCGTTCAATGCTTTATCTCACAGCTTCACAACAGGACTCAGATACAGCTTCCTAAAAAACAAACAAAAACTCCCAGTGCCATCGAGTCCGATTCTGATTCATAATAAAGTTACAAAAACAAAACCCCCGCTGTCATCGAGTTGATTCCAATTCATAGCCACCTGAAGAATTTTTACCGAAAAGCTATTGGAAACAATTATCTGGAAATGTAAGACACTAACAAGTGCTCTCGGGAACTGTCAGAATTCAGGTTGCAAGGAAAGGTTCCAGTAAGGACATGTGTATGTTGTAAAGAGCCCACGAACTGCCAGTGTAGCAACAGCCCCGCCCACCCTCACGCTGCTGCTTCCTAGGGCGGGGCCAAAAGCTACGCATGTGCAGTGGAGGTCTGAGTTGGGCCAAGGGCGCGCTCTGCGGGCTGGATGTCAGGGGTGCGGGCGCTGTTGGGACTCGGGCTGCTGGTTGCTGGATCGCGCCTGCAGCGTGTTAGACACCCGACTGGCGCTTGCCGCTACGGACCCATCTGGTGGGGGTCGCAGCGGCTGAACTCGGGGGTCCGCGGGTACCCAGGGACCATGGCGAGCGCAGCGGTGAAGTATCTGAGGTAGGCGACGCTGCAGGCGGGCACGTGGGACGCGGAGCTGCGTGAACCGCTCTCACCCCCGGGGGGTGGGGCCGGGACTGTCGCGCCACCTGCGGGACGGGCCACCTAATGGGCGGGGACTCAGAGGTGTGTCCTCAGCCAGGAAGAGGCCCAGGCGGTGGACCAGGAGCTGTTTAATGAGTACCAGTTCAGCGTGGACCAGCTTATGGAGCTGGCTGGGCTAAGCTGTGCCACAGCCATTGCCAAGGTTAGTGACGCAACCCTAGCTCCTTGGAGCTGCTGCTGGCAGGTTGTGGGGAGGAGTCCCTGGCCAAGACAAAGAGTAGGACTAGGCCAAGTTTTGGGTTGTAACTGCCCGAAGTTACTCTGACTCCCCACTGACTCCCCCCTCAGGCTTATCCCCCCACGTCCATGTCCAGGAGCCCCCCTACAGTCCTGATTATCTGTGGCCCCGGGAATAATGGAGGAGATGGCCTGGTCTGTGCAAGACACCTCAAACTCTTTGTGAGTATGTAGGGAGGAATTGTGGGAAAGGTCACAAGGATTGTCGCTTCAGAGGGAATTTATTTACCCCTTTCCTTTCCTCCCAGGGCTACCAGCCAACCATCTACTACCCTAAAAGGCCTAACAAGCCACTCTTCACTGCACTGGTGACTCAGTGTCAGAAAATGGACATCCCTTTTCTTGGTGAAATGCCATTAGAGGTAGGAGGCTTCAGTATCACTCACTCACTACACCAGTAGTCACTACGCTGGCCGAAATGGTTTTTCTCTTGAGACTGTAGACTCTTAAGAGAGCATGGATGGTGCCTGAAGGCTGCTATTTAAATAAAGCTGGAATTAAGAGCCTTTTCCTCCCTGTAAGGTGTGCCCCATGAGTGCTCCAGCACCTCTTCTAAAGCTTCCGTTCCCTTTCATCTCCCTAGCTCACTCCTTCCATGCTAGTCAATTCCTGTACCTAGCATGTTGTTAACACATGTTCTGCCCTCTCAGGAACTGGACTGCCTGCCTTATCCTAAACCATTTCTGCAGATACATGGGTTTAGGGGTGGGACACTTGAGAACTTGTTTTAGCTAAAACAACACACATTTCAGAGAGAGAGAGAGAGGCACAGAGAAAGGAAGTGGTTTGCCCACAAAATCAGATGATGGCCGCACTAACACCAGACCTAGCCCTCTTGACTCTTGTCTTGGGCACTCCCACACTGCCACCTCCCCAGTAACAGCCTGGCACTCAGATCATGCATCTTGCTGTCTTTGGCCAGATCAGTGACCAACTCATTCTTTAGGCCACGGGATGCTGAGCAAAGAAAATTATACTTGTACCTTTGTGAATGGTTTGTGTTCTGTGGGTGCAGCAGACAGCTGTCCCATCTGCCCTCTGTCATCTTTTCCTGTTCCACCACAGCCCATGCAGATTGATGAGCTCTATGAGTTGGTGGTGGATGCAATCTTTGGCTTCAGCTTCAAAGGTGATGTTCGGGAGCCATTCCGGAGCATTCTGAAAGTCCTGAGTGGGATCACCGTGCCCATTGCCAGCATCGACATTCCCTCAGGTGCTGGGCCCAAGAGGCTGAGGGGTATTGGGGCTTTCCCTTTCATTGAGGCAGGTAGCTAGAAATCTGATTTTTAGGTAAAGTTCAGACCAGGTCTAAAGTTGTTCGAGTCTAGAGGGGCAGGGCATGGCTTTATGGATCCTATGTCAAGGATGGGTAGCAGAATTCAGATGCGCCCTGTACACACTGGCCCCATGAAGAGACCAAAGCCCAGGGGTACATGGAGATTCTAAGACAAATGTTTCTTAGGCGGGGATCCAGGGGGCTTGCTACCCTTTTTAGGGCTAGGGTAAAGCATGGTATAGAAGAGGACTAGACATATGTGGTCTCATATGATCTTGAATATCATTCTTTTTTCAGGATGGGATGTGGAGAAAGGAAACTCAGAGGGGCTCCAGCCAGACTTGCTCATCTCTCTCACAGCACCTAAGAAGTCTGCAGCCCAGTTTACGGGTCGCTACCACTACCTGGGGGGTCGTTTTGTACCACCTGCTTTGGAAAAGAAGTATCAGCTGAACCTCCCCTCCTACCCTGACACTGAGTGTGTATACCGTCTGCAGTGAGGGAAGGTGTGTGGGCATTCTTCCTTCCAAAAAACTTTAGTGCCTCTTTCCCAGAACTGTGGAGTCCTGGGAGCTCTTCTAGTAAATAAAGGTTAATGGGTTGCTGGAGCCAGAAAACATGGACGATAATGGTGACACTTTTCTGAGAGAAACGACAGGCAAGAGATTGATAATGGCATTCGGAGGCAATGAAAAATTGACTTCTTTTTCCTTTTACTTTACAGTACAGCAAAACTGTGGGTTAGACACAAGGGTTTTCTGTTAAGGCCTCTAAAGGAAATCTAATTTGTCTTCAAGACCTGCCCTGGAGATCCTGGCTGGGTGCAGGAGGCCAGGATAGACAGACATAGAGGCTAGGAGTCCAAATTGATGTTTATTCAGGTATCTGCAATAGTGTTAGAAACTGGTAATCTGTGGGCTTAATTGTGTATATTTTTATTTAAAAATCAGAACATTTCAAATAACTTTATATATTTTCAGCTTCTTTTTTTAAAGGGAAAGTTGGATCTGACAACACTGAGCCTACATGTAGGCATTCAGTTGACCAGTTGAACGGAGGCAGGATGCCCCTTCAGAGGCTATTTACATTCTGGTTTTTAGGACTATAGGTCTTGTCTCTTAGCCACCTAGCTTCTGTAAATACCTGTGATCATGATCTTTGGGTTAGAATCAGCAAAGGGGACCACACCTACACCTGCTCCTTCAACTCAGGCCTGGATCTACAGATCTTCTCAGCAGATTGGTGTCTTTGAGCTCAGGTTCCTCCATGGGAGGGATGACTCTGAAAGGGCTGTAGAAGACCTGAATCTACCCAAGTCTCTGAAACTCTCACTACTGAAAAGGAATCAGTTGAGCTTCACCTTGATCAGACCTTCAATCTCTTCTCTTCTGTTTCTTGTTTTTGGCCCTCTGGCCAGCGTTGACTTCAGCTCTTTCCTTCTCTGGATGCTGCTGCTTCTTCCTCTTCTTATCTCTACTGCTTGGACTAGTATGTGTTCTGCTCTCTGTTTCCCTAGTCTTGCCAGCCCCTGCAGTCTCCTCATCTTCCTCCTCCTCCTCTTTATGCTGCTTCCTTTTTTTCTTGCTTCCCCTGCTACTTTGGTCACTGCCTACTTTGTTTGCTGCTTCTCTAGTTCTGTCATTTACAGAAGCTGCCTTGTCTTCTTCATCCTCTGTGTTCAAACCGTCCTCCTCCTCACGCTGCCGTCTCTTCTTGCTTCTGCTGCATTGGTCAGTGTGTGCTCTGTCCTCCACCTCCTCTGTCCTGTCGTCACCCGCTGCAGCCTCCTTACCCCCTTGTCCTTTATCCAAGATCCCTTCCTCTTGCTGCCGCCTCTTCTTTTTCTTTCTTTTCCTGAGGGGTTGATCAATTTGTTCTCCAATCTTCAATTCCCCAAGCCCACTTGTTCCTGCAGCCTCTTCCTCACTCTCTACAGTTCCCTCTCTCTCAGCTGAGACTTTGTCTTCTTGATGTCGCCTTTTCTTCTTCTTGTGCTTCCTGCTCTCTAGGACTGCAGTCAGTCTGTTCTGGGTGTTCATATGCTGGTCAGTCTTTGCTGGGCATTCCACTTCTCCAGTCCTTTCAGTTGCTGTAACCTCTTCCACCTCTTTTCGTTTCTTTTTCTTTTTGTGGGGGGGCTTGCTGTCAGGCTGTGACTGAGTGGCCCCAGGGTCCTGGCCTTTGAGATGAGCCAGGAAGGCCTGTTCCTGGGCCTCCAGCCGAGCAAGCTTAGCTTTCATTGTGATCCCAAGACGGGCAGCTCTGAAATAGACAGGGGCCCAAGTCAGAACAAGGAATTTGGAAGACATGAGCCTAATCCTTGGGAATATAGTAGGAAAGTTGCTGGGGATGGGAGATGGGCAGACATGCTTTATCTTCGGGCAAGAGTTAGGTAGCTAGGAATGATTTCCCTAGGGTGAAAAGAATCAAGATTGATCATTCTCAAGGGTGGGTTTGGGTAGGGAGAAAAAAGGTAGTCAAAGGAACAATTACTTACTTGTGCGCTGTTCGCCCCTCACAGGCTTGGAGCAGCATCTCATCAGTCAGACTGAAGAGAGATCAGGAGTTACAAAAAGATCTGGGAGAAAGGCTGAACCTCTCCCTCTCTCTAAAACTCTCGGTGCAAAGTTATTGCTCAGCAATCAGCACTTCTAGGTGCTGGGGACACAAAGATTAGTACAAGATAGTTCTACCGTACGAAAATCCCATGTCAAGCAGTGGTGGTGGTGGTTATGTGCCATGGGGTCAGTTCTGACTCATAGTGACCGTGTACAGGGTTTTGGAAGCTGTAAATCTTTATAGAAGCAGAAAGCCTCAGCCTTCTCCCGCGGAGCAGCTGGTAGTTTGAAACTGCTGACCTTAAGGGTCGCAGCCCGATTTGTAACCACTACACTACAAGCAGTAGACTTGGTTGTTTCTCCTGAGGTCTGAGAACACCTCCCACATTCCCTTAGTGCTAAAATTAAGCCTCACGTACATCTTTGGTGACTTGGATGCCTGGCTGTCATCATCACTGCAGTTCTCCAAGTCCTTGTCTGGTTTCTCCCCGTCTGAAGTCAGTGTGGCTGTCTAGAAGGAGGGATCATGGGGGTAGACAAGGCCCAGTCAATACCATCGCCATTCTTGTTTCCTCATGAAACCCCCCCCAAATTCATAGCCATACCCACAAATCTGTCAGCTCCCAACATTGCCAAGCCATAAAGGTACACCATCCCGCTTTTACTTGGGCAAGAGGTGGGCAACAGTTGATGGGAGAGAGAGCAGCTCTGGGAGGGGGGTAGCGGCTGAGCTCTTCCCTTCAAGAGGGGCTCTGGGTCATTATGTCATTAGTGTTCCCTGCTGGTCATCCCATGGTGCCAGTAACTGACAAAGATGATACTTTCCCATACCCGGTACATATGCACACTTAACTAGTACATATGCACACTTAACTAGTATTAACTGAAAACTTACTATGAGCCAAGGGATTAGGGATACAGAGTAGAAATAAGAATGAGATGGGCCCAGCCCAAGTAGAACCTTCATGGTGTGGGGAAAAGTGTGTGGTAGAACCTAGGGAATTAGATGGAAGAGTGCCTGTGCTGGCAACTTCAGGATTCAGGTGAGGTGTTCTGGAACTAATTGAGAACTGATGTGTAAGATGAGCTCTGGAGACAAGAAAAAGTTAGCAGGTAAAGAGAGAATGTCCCAGAGAGTAGCATGGGGGTAAGCCTAAAGTGAGAGAGAGCATGGTGCCTTCAAAGAAAAACAGATTCCATCTGGCTCAGCTGTACACGTCCTGGAGAGAAGGGGCAAGCAACAAGGCATGACTAGCCATGTAAACCAGACAAGTAATTAAGGACTCTTGCCATCCTAGGTCAAAGAGAAGCCAGTGACAAGATGAAGTGTTTTAGAACATGGTGGATGCTTTGTGGAGGATGGACTGATTGGGGTGGAGAGTGAGGCTAGAGGTGAGGAATCTGGTTGTTGTTAGGTGCCATCAATTTGGTAATGACTCATAGCGACCCTATGCACAGCAGAATGAAACACTGCCCGATCCTGGGCCAACCTCACTATTATTGCCACACTTGAGCCCACTAATGCTGCAGCTTTGCCAATCCATCTCGCTGGGGGTCTTCCTCTTTTTCTCTGACCCTCCACCTTACCATACATGATCTGGTTAGGGGTCTATTAAAGAAATGTAGCAAGACATGATGATGGTACAATGGGGCCAGATATATAGAATAATGGGACTTACTAAATGTAAAGCCTTTGGCACATAATAGAGAATCATTAAGGATTAGCTGCCTTATATTGTACAGTGCCAGCAGGGGACAGCAGAAGGAGTCTGAAGACTTGGGCTCTAGTCCTGTCTGCCATTATTAACTAGTTGTAGGCTCTTCAGCAAGTCACTTTGCTCCTTGACCTAATCTGCAAAATAGGGAGAATGGACCAAATAATGTCTCAGATTTCTTCAGGCTTCTAAAGTCTTTGAATTGAAGAACCCACCCATGCTACTCCAGCAGCTCCTGATTAGAGGGACTATTCCTCACCTCCCACTCAGTATTGCTCTCCCTACAGCAAATGTTAGGGATCTGTGGAGCCTGAAGATCTCAAATCTTGCTGAGGGTCTGGGCAATCTAAGTGAGCAGTGAGATGGTTACAGGATCCCACTAAGTTAAAGCAGTTCTGAGAATAGATAGGGCTCACAAGGCCCCAGGGGAGACCAGGGAAGGGAAAAAGGATGGACCTCTCACACCCAGCCTCTATACCTTCACAAACTTCTGATACAGCAAGTTGGGTTTTGGACATTCATGACGGGTAGTCTCCTTAGAAAGGCGCCTTATCTTAACTCCGTCCTGTGGGAAAGTATCCATGAGTGGATGATGTGCCATGTCTCCCTCACCCCCATGTCCCAGACCCTGTTTCATGTGCCTATTACTCACTCATACCTGCTCAGTTTCTACTACCAAGCTGGCTGCAGTCTTGTTGAATAGCTCATTCCACCAGTGGTTTGTGAAGTCCTTGGCAGGGTCATGTCCCACCTACCAAGGGAAGAAATATGAGCTCTGAGCATCTGCTCTGCTTTGCCCTTCGAAGGGTTGCCTTCTTCCAACCACACCAACCTCCCACTACCTATCCAGTCTTACCCCATGAGTATCCTGCTTCAATGTCACCCTGATGGCCTGGGTGATGCCATTCTCCTTCCGGCCGAGGCCTTTGCCTGCAGAAGACAATGGATGATTTGGCTTCTCGTGCTGCTGTCCCAAGCTGTCATAAGGCAGTACGCTATCACCCCACCATGCCACTCCTTGCCGTTCCACACACAGCACTGGACCATACTTTGACCCTCCCAATTCCATTCCTTCTAGCACCACTGCCTGCAGTCCCCCTGCCTTTGTCCAAGCCTGAATTATCTCTTCCTTCATGACTCAGGGTAGAGGCCATAGCTCTTCCTCCGTCCCAGTCCTCTCAAACTCTTCTTTCTCACTCATTTCTTTTATTCCTCTGCCAAATCTCTTTCATTCCTCCCTTTTCTGGAAAAGTCAGAACAGGTCTTCTGCAAACATTTCTTCCTCAAACCGAATGGTCTTTATAGAGGTAATCCCTGGATGTGTGAGTCTGGCCTCTCCCCTGGGCAGAGAGTTGGCAGAATTGGGGGAATGTGGAAGGGGCCCCAAGGGGATCACCTTGAGTCCATCCATGCTTTAGCAGCTGCTCTTCAGCAAACTTCATCCCACGACTCTTGACCTCTGGGGTGACACTCATGGTGAGAAAAAAAGTCTCTGTCCTTAGGCCCTCACCGGGGAAGCAGTAACTATAATCCCTTTAAGAGGAAAGGAGAAAGTACCCAAATCATCAACTTCATCCTGACTGCTCTGTTAAGTCTTTCCTGAACCCTGAGGCGACAGTAGATGATGGGGGTTTGGTCTTCAGGGAGCTCCCTCCCAGTCTGCCAATATCAACACATCAAGAAGTCAAGGTGAACTGATGTTAATACTACCTAAATATGTGGGAGATTACACAAACGTGCTAAGGCTTTACATGGATTTTCTCATTTAATTTTTCCAGCCCATTCAAGAAAGTATTATTTTCCCTATTGTACAAATGAAGAAACTACAGCCTAAAGAGGTTAGGTGATTTGCTCAAGGTCACACAGCTAATGTGTGTAGAAGTCAATCACAGTCAGCCTCTGTGCAGTCTGCACTCTTTACCAATACATAACATCTCCCAAAATATATTACTATGTAAAACAAAGTTCTGAGCTATGAGGTACTTGTTAACCTAAATTATAACGGTACTTAAAAGAGCCCATAGCCTGTACTTATGCTCCAGCATTTACACTGTCCTTCTAGTATGTATGGACTACACATCTACTCCCACTCTGCCACTAAGAGTCTTTCAGTCTTTTCAGAGCTCCTCTTCCCAAACTGTCCAGGCAAAGAAAAGGCAGGGCACTTTTACTAAGCACGATTAAGAGCTAGGCTGCTGCTAACTGAAAACTTGGCAGTTTTGAGTCCACTCAGGTGGATAACACACATTGTCTCATTTAATGCTAACAGCTCTACAAGATCGATATTACCCTTATTTTACAAATAAGGGAAGTAAGGCCTTGGTTTTCTGCCTGAGGTTACATAGCTAGTAGGAGATAGAGCTAGAATCTGAGCCTAGGTTGCCTGACTCCAAAGTTAGTCCTCTTTCTAGCTGTATTTCTTTACTGTTACACAGTGTTCCTCCTTTTGGACCCACAATGGTGTTATCCATCTTATATAACAAATTTGCCTCCAAAATAATTAAGATGGCACAGGATATTCAAAAATTAAGACAATTAAGGTTGACCCGACTCACTACAGTCAACTTGCACTAAAATTTGTAGACAGTTCATTTATTACAAGCATTGCAGGCAATCTTAAAAGCTGATTAATGGGTACCACTGGAATAATTCTCAGCCTCCCAAAGTGACAACTCTGAAGAATAAACTATCATTTGAGTTTAAGATGGTCTCCTAATATGTTTAGAAAAAAGCAGCTGCAAGCAAACACTGACAAGAAGTCCTACAAGCCCTGGAGGACCCTGGGGTGAAGAGTGTCACCAAGATCTACAACCACCACAAAAAGTTTAGCTACGTAACCATAATCATGGGCCCCTCCCTCCTTCCACAACACCTGCGAGGTCAAAGCGCAGGCCAGCTGCAATTTCCTAACCATCTCGTCTAAGCTGCTGGGGAGAGCCTCTCAAGGACACCCACGTTCTCTACCAAGGCGACCCAGGGCAGCGATCTGGAGAAAGTGCACTTGGACGAGAAAGTGCACTTGGACGAGAAAGTCACAAGTTTGCAGCGACGCCGGAAGCTGGAGCTCACGAAAGCATGTTCAGTGCGGAAAATGGGAAGTAGAGCCGGCATCGGAGCGCAGAGCTGCAGAGCTAAGTGCTTATCCTTGCAGAGTCCGTTTTGTTTATTTGTTTTAACTAATTGGCACAGGGATGGATCCCAGATTTCTGATTTTTATGTGAAATTTTGCCTCATGCATTAGACCTGTCACTTGCAAAAAAAAAAAAAAAAAACAGCACATTCAGGATGACTCAGAGCACTGGTCACATTTCTACTGTGAAAATCAATTACTTGAAAATCTAATTGATACCTTGAGAGCTCCAACAGAAAAGTTTGAGTGAAGAAATGGCCTTATCTTGCTTCTTGACATTGTGAGAAATAAAATTCAAAAGTATTTAAGGCCATTTCAAAACTATGCCTTCTCCTAGAAAACATCTCCGACCTTTCAATGATAAAAGATCATCTCTAACACTTGTTGCCCTTTTACTCAATTGCAGTCAGCCTGTTACTAACAGCTTCACCTGGATTATCTCACTTAATCTTCCCAACAACTAATGTGTTATTAGCCATAATTTACATATGAGGAAGCAGACACTGACAGATTTAGTTACTTGCTCAAATCAAATACAGTAAAACTGCGAAAGTTGGAACCTGTGTTAGAGAAGAAAAACTCAAATAGTTTCCACTAAACGAAGAGTAATAGAAAAGTGCTAGTACGAATCGGGCTGCGAAGCTTAAGGTCAGCAGTTCGAAATTACCAGCTGATCCGCGGGAGAAAGATGAGGCTTTCTGCTCCCGTAAAGATTTACAGCCTTGGAAACCCTATACAGGGTCGCTATGAGTTGGAACCGACTCCACGGCACATCACCACCACCAAGACTACACCCTATCAAAGGCGGAAAACTTGCAGTTTTCCAAAAAACAGCAGTCTCGTCAAGTTCCGGCTCTCACAAGTTTCATTGTAGCTAGCAAATAGTAAATCCGAGACTGGTACACAGGCCATTTCAGAAATGTTATTAATCACCACACTCATATGTCACAATTTGCGCTTGCCACCATAAGACTGATCACACCATACCCCTTGTCGCAGTAATTAAAACTATACCCACTGTAAACTACACAGTGCACGTAGTGAAGCTCGACAATGCGTTCAGTCATATTTGTTGAATCGAATGACACATAGGTTGGAACTGCTCAAACAAGGTCCAAGCCTGTGAGACACGATAAAGTTTGCAAAAAATGCTGCAAAGGTTGCGAACTCACTTAAGAGACATTGTCTTCTCCCAGTCAATCTGCATTTTCTGAAACTGGCCCAACGCCTGTTCTTTCCCTAGGTCTCCTTTTTCTAGAGTTCTAAATTCCAGCCATCCTGACGCAACCTTACTTAGGTAAGATTACACTCCCCATCTCACATTTGCTCCTTTGCCCGGGATCCATTCCAAAGGACCGGTACCCTTACCGTCATTGCGCAGTCCCCTCTGTGGAATCATGTGGCCGGTATGACTTGGGTGCCGCCATCTTTCCGGAAACGGTACTTCTATGCTGTCGAAACCATAGAGACGTCTGAGGGAACCCACGTCCGGGTCCTCCCAGGAGCGACTAATAGGAAAGCCTAGTTGCTATAGAAACTGGGCCTGAGGCATTCCCATTTCCGGAAGTTCTGGAGGTATTCTACTTAAATCCTTTCTGCAAGTTCTGAGCAGGCGAGAGTATTCTGGGTTTGTGGGACACCGAAAACAGTTTTGGGTCCCTCCGTGAGCTTGTCCCAGGTACAAATTTGAGGAAGAAAAATAATAGGAGGAAACACGGAGAGTGACCCGAGAGGTTTCGTAGAGGCAGAGGAAGAGCTAGCATACATGCGATGATTTTGTGGGGATGATTACTCAGTCTGCAGGAAAAGTAGTTTATAAAAACCTAGAGGAGGGGCGTGTAGCTCTGTAGGATAAACACTAGAGTGCAAATGAACCGTAAGATAAACAGTTTGAGCCCACCAGCCCCTCGGTGGGAGAAAGATGAAACTTTCTGCTCCCGGTGTGGCACTGTAGGATAAGCCGTGGACCGCACTATCTGTTTAAACTGCAAGATCGGTGGTTCAAACTCATCATAAACCCTATACAGGGTCACTATGAGTGGAAGCCCATTTGGCAACACTTAGCAACAACATAACAAAGATTTATAGCCTGGAAACCCTATACAGAACCAGTAAGAGTTGGAATCGACTCAAGGGCACTTTAAAAAACAAAACAAAACACACCAAAGGCTACAGATTTTAGTAGGTTCATCAAACACTTTTTGACTCACCATGGATAATGTACTGCTGCAATTTGATTGGTCGGTTTAAAAGGTAACCCTTCAGCCAGCCGCATATTATGGGCATAATTTATAATAGTTTTGTATACATTATATTGTGATCATAAAAGAGATAAGCAAGGTAACCTCTAGGGCCCTCTCCAGCCCAGAATTCCTGTGTGGTACACTTTGCAGATCACTCTGAAAAACCGGGTGCCTGTAAAACCTTTGACTCGGGATTGCTTTTCTGGTTTAGGATCTTGAACTCCCTGCTCTCTCTGACCCAGTCATTTAGCAGAAATTTGTTAAGGGTCACCTATAGACCAGGAATTTCAGACAAACACCCAAACCCACAGCCACTGAGTTGATTCTGACTCATTTATATAGTTTCTGAGACTAAATCTTCACAGGAGCAGACAGCCTCATCTTTCTCCTGAGGAGTGGCTGGTAGATTTGAATCATGAACTTTGTGGTTAGCAGCCGAATGCCTAACCCACAAAGCCACCAGGGCTCTTTATAGACCAGGATTTGTTGTTGTTATTGTTAAGTGCCCAGGGTTTAGAGGTATAAAATATTCAGTTCTCATCCTGTCAAGGCTTATGATTTTATCCACACAAAAACCTACAAATGAATGTTCATAGCAACATTATGTATAATAGCCAGAAAGTGGAAACAACTAAAATGTCTGCCAACTGATAGATGGATAAAAGAAATTTTATATAGATATCCAATGGAATATTAATCAGTCATCAAAAGAAATGAAGTACTCACATATGCCACAACATGGATCAACCTTGAAAACATTCTGCTAAGTGAAAGAAGCCCACAAAAGGCCACTTATTGTATTAGCCAAGTTGTATGTAATGGCCAGAATAAGCAAACCCATAAAAACAGAAAGCAGATTTGTGGTTGTTGGGACCTCTAGGGAGGGAAAACTGAGAGTAACTGCTAATGGCTATAGAATTTCTTTTGGGGATGATGAAAATGTTCTAGAAGTAATGGCTACACAACCTTATGAAGATAACAAAAAAACACTGAATTGTATGCTTTAGGAGAGTGACTTTTATGGCATATGAATTTTATGTTTTAAAAAGTCAACTCACCGGTGACCGCCGTAGTCAACTTGTGAGTGGAAGTGGGGGAAATGCAGCGATGAAGACATGCGCTGAGTCTGGCCATGTTCCCTT